GACTCAACTGCTTCATATACAAAATGAATACAATATCAACATTTTACTTCATTATAAGTTGGTACTCATGATAAATGAGTTAAGGGAATTAGAATGTTTGGAGGCCAAATGAAAGTATTATAACTAATGATATGCAATAACATTATTTTTCTGATTATTTCCTGCCTTTCAACTTTAGAAAGACTTGACTAGAGGTTGAATTTGGACATTAAACCCAAGAAAATGAACATTTGAAGATAATTTCTCAAAGTAGAATTTGGCCAGGTCACCATACTTAGCAACAGTTTCAAAGAGAAAGATAATTGAGGTTTTTAATGAGCTTTGAAACTTACCTGAAAGGTGGGATAAAAGTGTGGTGTTAAGCAGTGTGAATTGATTTTAGACCGTTTGTTTAGGATATATCCTAGTGGTAATATCTTTCTTCTGTACTGTAATTAGCCAGAAAATAATCTTTTCTTTAATAACTTTTTTCCTGATCTCCTTTGAGGAAATGCTATATGGTCAGTTGTCACCTGATTGTGTTGTCTGTGAAAATTGGTATTCTCAAGTTTTATTACAGTAAATCACTTCAATGCAAGAACGAAGGTACCAATCTTTTCTTTTCTCCCCTAGCTACAAGCTAGATTTTTAAAAATAGGAGCTAAGAGTTCAGAATTAGATTGTGATGATAGTTCTTTTTTCTTCCTTTTCTTTTTTGGTACAGGGTCTTGCTCTGTTGCCCAGGCTGGAGTGCAATGGTGTGATTATGGCTCACTGCAGCCTCAACCTCTTGGCTCAAGCCATCCTCCACCCTCAGCCTCCTATGTAGTTGGGACTACGGGTGCACGCCACCATGCCTAGCTAGTATTTTAATTTTTGTAGAGATGGAGTCTCACTATATTGCTCAGCCTGTTCTTGAACTCCTGGGCTCAAGTGATCCTCCTGTCTCAGCCTTCCAAAGTGCTGTGATTACAAGAATGAGCCATTGCACCAGGCTTGATACTTATTTTCAATCTACTTTCTAGAGGTCTATGATTTGATTGTTATCTAGAAATGGAGCCCACCTGCCATATTCTTTAAATGGCATCCATGGCTGAATTTTGTGGGAAAAAAACACATTGCATTTTATAGAATATGGCCTCTACAGAGTAATGTTACTCCAAAACCATTCAGGCTATGGGAATCTTCTGCCAAATCTAAACACTGTAGAGCTAAGAAAAGAAAGAGACTCTGGGGAAGAAGAAATGAAATTAGCTGAATAAATCCTAATTTGGAAGGGAGAAAAATGACAAATAGAAGAAAAATGCAAAAGGCAGAGAGGCAAATAGTTTCCTCTAATGTCTATGTCTCCTGATAATATTGTAGAGCTGAGATTATATATGGACAGCTAAAGCCGAAAGATGAGAAATAAAAATATCTTGAATCCTACTGGAATATCATGTTCCACATTATTTTTTTTTCCATTCTTGGGGAGACAAACAAAAATTATACTGTGAACTAACTGCCACAAAAGAAAATACTGTTACATGTAAGTAGAAAGTGTACAATCAAGTTCACTCCAAACTACCTTCTCTTCCTCACCCATCCGTAAAGTAACTCTTAATTTTTCGAGGGAGAGCCTTTTTTTGGGTGATGGGGGAGACTGTGCCTACAATCCTTAGCACTGATTTCCTGACTGCTGAGTAGCATTAGTCATGCATCCTCCTCATGCCCATAAATGGAGGACGAGCCTACACTGATGCTATCGGATGAATTTAAACAAGGCCTGTTCCAAGTGAACCCTCAGAGCCAGACTGACAACACTCCTGCAGCAAACTCATCTTCAACAGAAGCCAGTTTTGTTTCATTTTCTGAGTACACACTGCTAACAAATGTATAGGCCAATGTGATGTCTGTGTACTGTACACCTGGGGCTTGGAGCAGGCCTCCTACTGTGATATTAAGCAGGGGTGACTGGGCGCAGGGGCTCATGCCTGTAATGCCAGCACTTTGGGAGGCCAAGGCAGGTAGATCACCTGAGGTCAGGAGTTCAAGATCCGCCTGACCAACATGGTAAAACCTGTCTCTACTAAAAACATGAAAATCAGCTGGGTGTGGTGGTGAGTGCCTATAATCCCAGTTACTGGGGAGGCTGAGGCAAGAGAATTGCTTGAATACTGGAGGCGGAGCTTTCAGTGAGCAGAGCTCTCACCACTGCCCTCCAGCCTGGGCAACACAGCGAGACTCCATCTTAAAAAAACAAACAAACAAACAAAAAAAGGTTGGGCATGGTGGCTCACGTCTATAATCCCAGCACTTTGGGAGGCCAAGGTAGGTGGATCACGAGGTCCGGAGTTTGAGACCAGCCTGGCCAACATGGTGAAACCCCATCTCTACTAAAGATACAAAAAATTAGCCAGGAGTGGTGGCATGCACCTGTAATTTCTGCTACTCAGGAGGCTGAGGCAGGAGAACCACTTGAACCTGGGGGGCAGAGGTTGCAGTGAGGCGAGATCATCATTGCACTCCAGGCTGGGTAACAGGGCGAGATTCCGTCTCAAAAAAAAAGCAGGGGTGAAAATTTTCTCTGAGGGAAAGTTGAGGTCTATATACTTGATGTTAAGAACTCAGTATGTTTCTTCTTTTTTTTTTTTTGAGACCTGGTCTTGCTCTGTCACCCGGGCTGGAGTAGAGTGGTACGATCTTGGCTTACTGCAACCTCTGCCTCCTGGGTTCAAGTGATTCTCCTGCCTCAGCCTCCTGAGTAGCTGGGATTACAGGCACCATGCCTGGCTAATTTTTTGTATTTTTAAAAGAGATGGGGTTTCACTATGTTGGCCAGGTTGGCCTTGAACTCCTGACCTTGTGATCCATCCACCTTGGCCTACAAAACTGCTGGGATTACAGGCATTGAGCCACCGTGCCTGGTCACCTGACTAATTTTTAAAACATTTTATAGAAACGGGATCTCACCATGTTGCCCGGGCTGGGTCTCGAACTCCTGGGCTCAAACAATCTGCCTGCCTCAGCCTCCCAAAGTGCTGGGTTTACAAGCATGAGCCACCATGCCAGGCCCAGGCCTAATTTTTAAGCAGAGTTTATGAGAAGAGAATCAGCTTTACTTGTTATTGCCTTAATGCACTCTTATCCTGTAGGAAGGTAGTTTGATACGGTAGAAGGAACAATGAACCAATAATTGGAAATCCTGAGTATAAGTTGTGGGCAAGTTACTTAACCTCTGTGGGTCTCACAGTTCTTTTCTGAAAGATGAGTGGGCTAAAGATTCCTTCCATCTCTAAAATTCTTTTATTCTATATGGTAACACATTCCACAGCATTTCCTTTGTGACCAGAATTAGTCTGTGACTTCCTACCTCAAGTATCCCTTTTGCCCTCTTTGAATGTTAAACCAAATATGAACAAGAAGCAATAACATTTTGTCACAGCCAACAAATTGCCCTTCCACAGAATGACCTTGGGAGGTCAGGCCACCCATTGCAATATCTGAATCCAAAAGGCAAAGCTATGACCAACTTGTGAGCTGGCAGGCTGCCATCCAAAAGGATGGAAATGGTTGTAGGCAGCCAAAATTCTTGGCTGGTACATTTTTAATAAACATAGACAATAAGAACAGCATTTTCCACTTGGATTGCTTAATTTGGTGCCCATACCATTGGAACATTTGCTGTTAGAATAAAGATGATGTGATATATCACTTATTTAGCGCAGGATGGATTAACTTTCACAAATGAGAAGTAGGTTATGGAGTCATCTGTAAGGAATTTTTATCCTTGTTTCTTGTGTCTGGCAGGAGATAGCTTGAGTCATTACAGCACTTTCTCCACCCCTTTTGGCCCTTTGTAAGAGTTTTCCCTGAAACATAAGCTCTGTCAGATTTACTGTATTGCTATGAATGGACTAAGGCAAATTGGTGAGACTTCTTTGTGGTCGAATGTGTTTTATTAATACTTTTCCAAGATGGTTCAATATGTCTTAATAATTTTTCCAAGAAAAAAGCCTCCACAGCACGTATTCTTCGGTTAATTTAAAGAATAATAGTTGAGGTATGTGTTTCAAACTACAGGGAGAAACTTACGTAAGACAATGACCCTCATAGTTGCTAGTTATGATTTTTAATCATGCCTGTTGCACTAATTGATCCAGTTACTTGAGCTCTGTTTCCCTGTCTCTACTTGCAATATGGCAACTAGGACATTTGACTGGCAAGGGTGTTTTGGAGATCCTTGAATAAAATGCTCTCTGTAATGGTAAGCTGTAATTAGATATGTGGGTGGAAATTAGCATTCTTCAAGTACACCATGTTTAAGGCAGAGGCATCATGCTATCTACTACCTGAGGCCACCTTGATCCTGTGCCATACCTCCAGGTCACTGGTTCTATAGGGCTGTTGGTCTAAGGCTGCCGGTTCCAAAAATAAAATAACTCGGCATTGAGCTCTAAAACCAGGGAGTTTTTTTCTTTTTTTTTTTTTTGAGATGGAGTTTCGATCTGTCACCCAGGCTGCAATGCAATGGCGTGATCTCGGCTCATTACAACCTCCTCTTCCCCGGTTCAAGTGATTCTCTTGCTTCAGCCTCCCCAGTAGTAGAGACAGTGTTTCACCATATTGGCCAGGCTGTTCTCAAACTCATGACCTCAGGTGATCAACCCGACTCAGCCTCCCAAAGTGCTGGGGTTATAGGCGTGAGCCACCTCGCCTGGCTGAAACCAGGAAGCTTTTTTATGTTTAAAAGCAGGCTTCACAGTTCTTTTACGGACAAGTCAGGCATTGACCACGGATCACTATAACTTGTCTTTTCATTTGGAAGTGTCCGTTTTCCCAACCTTCATAACTATCTTTTGAATGGTACCTGCATCTTAAAATAAAACTTTTGAATGGATTCCTGGAGTCATGGTAGGTCCTCCATTTTGGATGAGCTCCTTCAGTAACAGCATCCCTGTAGCAATAACCCTTTTCCATCCTCTTCAACTTTTATACAGAAAGTACATCCCTGTTTCGGGACTAAAAAGGGGCTGCAATTGGTACGTTAAAAATTTTATTACTGTATTTGTTTTCAGATACAAAAAAACCCCCCAAACCCTCCCATAACGACCAATTCTGGCTTTCTAGAATCCCTCCTCCCTGACTTGACTTGAAATGAGATTTGCCTCGCCAGTATTTTCTATCTACTTATTAAGGGAGGTGATTTCAAGACCATTGGGAATGACGGAAAATTTAGAACTATCATTAGTTCCTCTCCCTCCCCGCCCCCCGCCCGGGGTTCCCTCTTTGCTAATGACGCTGGAAAGCCGCTCCACTGGCGGCGTTTCTCTTCTCCCACTCTTGTGGCAACACACGGTTCCGCGCGCGTCTCCCGGCGACTGCGTTTCCCCGAGAGTCGGCTGCGTTCGTTAGGGGATGAAGTCATCCGTATACCTAGTGTGCACAGCTCCTTCCATCGGCGCAGCACGCTGGGATTCCTTGGGAAGACAAGGAGCGAAAGGAACAATGATGACCATATTTTCCATTTATATGCCCCCCTCAACTCCGCAGGAATCGCTGGGCGCAGCCGTGACGGGGGCGGGTGGTGGGTCTAACCGGGATACCCCCCCGATTCCCTCGTCCCCTTCCCGAGGCCGCAAGAGGGCGGGCTAAGCACTCGCCCCGCGCTAGGGCAGCCGGCCGCTAGCCGACCGGAGTCCCCCAGTCCGGCCCTGTGCCCAGTCACGCGTCCCGGCTCCCCACGCCGGTGCCTGCGGGTCCGGCGCCCGGGAGGTCTCGGCGCCTCGGTCTCCGCACCGCGGCCGCGGGGAAGGCCCTGGAACTCCCCCAGCCTCTGGGGAGCGGGAGGCGACTGGGAGGGGGCCGACGGTCAAGGACAACCCTGGGCGAGGAACCCCGGCCGACTGCGGGCGGGAGGTGCCGGGGGGGTGGCCGGCCCGAATCCCAGGGGGCTGCAGGGGGCGGGGTAGGGAGGTAACAAAGAGCCTCACTCTGCCGCCGCTGCCGCCGCCGCCGCCGCGCTCGCTCCCGCCCAGACCCGCTCTCCGCAGTCCGGCGGGGGCCCAGCCGCCGGCACGGGGGAGCGCGCCCGGCCCCCCGCCTCCCCTCCCCCCGCGCCGCCCCCTCGCCCCCGGGGGAAGGAGGGGAGGAGGGCGGCGCCTGCGTGTTCCTCCGCCGTGCGCCCCGCCTCCTCCCGGGCTCCTCGCGGCGATCCCGACTCTCCTCCCGCGGCTGCAGCAGCTGCCGGTTGCACACGGCCTCGGCGGCGGCGCGGCGGGCGCGGGCCTGTGGAGCGGCGGCCGGGCGCGCGGCCCCGGCGGGCACCCCTCCGAGGGCGGCCGAGGAAGCTCCGGGAGGAGGAGCAGGACCACGAGGAGGTGGGAGGCGGCGGCCGCCTGGGGACCCGCTCCGTGCCTCGGCCTCTCCGCCCCCTCCCCAGCCTTTCTCTCGCCCCCTTCTCTCACACTCCCGGCCGGCGCCTCGGCTTTGTGCGAGGAGATGTTGTAGCCCTTGGCCGTCGAAGGAGCCGGACACTTGTCTCCCGTCTCCGAGCTGCTCCCCGCCCCTGGAGGAGAGACCCCCTTCGGCTCGGCGCCTCCCGCGTCTCCCGGCTGCTGGGGAAGCCTCTGCGCCGCCGGCACCATGAGGTGAGGGGCGCGCGGGGCGGGGGCCGGGCGGGCCATTGTGCCGCGGGAGCCGCGACCCCAGCTCTCCTCGGACCCCGCCTTCCCTCTCCCCGCCGGGCGCGTCTCCCCGGGTCTCCTGGCTGTTCCTCCCCCCTCCCCCTTTTGTCCCTTCCAATTTCCCTTTCTTTCTTGGAAACCTCCCCAACCCCTGTGGTTTCGGGGGTCTCGCTTCACCTTTCTCTCATTTTTCCTCAAATGCTCTTCTTTCACCCAGGATTTCCCTTCCTAAATTTAATTTGCGCCTGGCTCCCTCCCCCCAGCCTTTGCTAGCGAAACCCGGGAGATGGGGAGGGGTTCGAGAATCGAAGCGTGTATGTTGCTGGGAAACAGGTATTTTTCCGTATATATGTAAAAATTTCATGCACTTTTGCCTCTTAACTCTCGTGTTTAATTAAAAAAGGAAGAAAAGTTTGAAAGGTCTGAAGTCTCTGCCGGTAATGAAGTGCCTCTGGTAGGGGTAGGTGAAGGCGCTGTGAAAGGTGAAATTTCACGGTGGTGGGGGAAGGGAAAGAACGGCTTAGGTTCACGTGGTGGGGGCAGTAAAAGGCTGGGATAAGTAAGTCGTTAGGGGTGTGTAAGCGGGGGTGGGGAAGGGCTCTGTTTGGAAAAGCCCTTTCGCCCCTTCCTCTGTAGCAGCCTGTGTTGCATTGCAGCAGCTGCTTTTTCCCTTTGCTCTGTAATCAATAAAACAGGAGCTAAATTATTTTTGCGGCCCCGAAGAAGAGAATTGAATGTACTGTCGTAACATTTTTTTTTAAATTGATACGATGGAACATATGGTGTGATATTTTTCTTTTTTGTTTCTCAAATTGTGTAGGAGAATAAACCATGATGTGGTGTGTCATTCATTGGAGATTTTTTTCCAGCCTTTCCTAAGCCTGTTTTGTGTCCATAACCTTCTCTTTTCGGATTGGTGCAAGACTTCGTGAGAAATGGGACTTGGTAGACTGAAGGCTGATCCATTCTGCGTTATCATCCTTAAAGGCCTTCCTTTTGGGTTAAACAATTGTGGACAAAGTACATTACTCCATTTCTCTCTCTTGAAAGAGATAGTCTTACAGTTCATTTGGATTTGAATCTCCTTTGTGTTAAAGATTAATGGCCAACCGTTGCCAAGACCTTTATAATGTAATACAATGAGATTTGAATGATATCTACAAATTCCTTCGCTTTGGCAAGAAAATGTCATGTCATTGGAATTCTTTCTCAATTTCAGTAGTTTCCATTTTAAACTTTGCTTTTCATTTTTTTTCTATCAAGGTCGAACATGTTTCAATTTGCTTTTATATGTATATATTTTGTGATGTATCTGTGTTGTATTTTCACTTAGGCTTACTGTGAATTTGAATTTTTTTCTCTGATTCCAGGTTACCTTTATGATGGCCTTAAAGAGTGAGTTTAATGTTGTTTCTCTAGGTGACTAACCCCTTTTCCCTTGATTTCTCACAAGTTATTTTGAAATATAAGCGATCAGTTTAAAAAGTAATTATACAAACCAAAAAACACAATCTTTGTAAAATATGGCTTGAAAACTTTTAGTCATATGTTCGAGCATGACTTTTTTTTAAAAATCGAGTTACTGATGTCCTTGAAAACTCAGGAACTGTAATATACATATTGTTATATCTTGTAATATTTTATGTTGTTGGTTTCTGTTTTAGAGATTTAATGCCGTAGGGATCTTGCAGACCAGAAGTTATCAGTTGTTTCAAACTTTGGGTAAAGTTATCTTAACATTGAGAAATGTAAAACAGTGAAAGTGGGTTGGTTTTTTTTTTTTTTTTTTTTTTTTTTTTTTTTTTTTGATATTTTTTTTTTTTTTTTTTTTTTTTAAAGAGACTGTCGTGATGCGATCTTGGCTCACTGCAACCTCTGCCTCCCTGGTTCAAGCGATTCTTCTGCCTCAGCTTCCTGAGTAGCTGGGATTACGGGTGTATGCCACCATGACCGGCTAATTTTTTGTATTTTTAGTCGAGATGGGGTTTCAGCGTGTTAGCCGGGATGGTCTTGATCTCTTGACCTTCTGATCTGCCTGCTTAGGCCTCCCAAAGTGCTGGAATTAAAGGCATGAGCCACAGGCGCCTGGCCAAAAGTGGGTTATTTTTAAATAAAAACCGTCATAATTGTCTAATTCAAAGATTGTGAACTAAAAAAAAGTTACCGTTTTGGGTATTCAGTAAAGTTTAATCACTGTCATGTATAGATGTTGTCTGTCACAGGTAAATTACGTCTTCACTGAAAAGTTCGTTTTCTAATAAAAAGTAACTTCTCTTTTTTAAGCTTTTTTCTTGGGTCTGTTCCTGATGAAGTGTAGGGAGAGAGGCACCACACTGATGTTTTTCAGCAACATAAATATAGAACTTGGTACACAGGTCTGAAGTTTATTTAAGCAGTCTACAGTAATTCTTTGTAGGCTAATTTTGCATAATTTAAGAGCAGGAAAGAGGATCAGCTTTTCACTTTGGAAGGAACTGTATTATTTGGTGGGTGGTTTGTGCAACTCAGGTAGTACGCAGATTTGCTTAGATATCTGTAGAAGTGAGATTGGTAAGGGATAAAATCTTGTGCTGGTTGCAAAATCTTTGATATATTTTGGTCTTAAGAAAGGGCTTTTCAGTTTATATTAATATATGCTTAGTCTTCATCATGCTTTCAAGTACTGCAGGACGTAAATGTTAGCCTTTTAAGTTGAGCCCTTTTTGGTTATATTAAGATGTACTTCTGATGTTTCAAAGAATATTTCCAACTAAGTTGGTCAGAATTCTGAATAGAGGATATGGTGAATATATTATGGTAGAAGTATTAGTGATATCTTTCAGATGACTTTAATTTTAGGAATAGCATTCTCACTGTATATAATGTAATCTTACACACAAGATAACTGAATATAGTTTATATTCCTGAAACAGCCATAGGCATTTTACATGAATAAAATGTATGTATAGATTTACTTGTTAATATTTTGCTTAAAAGTGAATATTTAAAAAATGAAAAAGCACATTACTTATACAGGACAGTGGAAAGGTTGAGACCAAAAAGCTGGTACTCTTTGTGTCCTGTCTATTTAGTTCTATTCTTACGTTTCATTTATGTAATGTTTCAAAAGTGTAAGATACTTTGTGATTGAAGTGTGTGTTTATATGTATGTGAATGCGTGTATAGGCATGTACAGTGTGCCTTTTAAGTGCATTTTAAAAAATAGTTGGTTTGTTTCTTAAGACTTTTTTTCTTTTTACTGAAAGAGGCGCTTGTCTGATCTAAAATAGTTGCATGTAGCCTAGTGGCTAAGAAGAGCTCAGAAGATTTTGTGTTTACATTCTTGGATCATTTTTGCATAGTCCAGGCTTCCACTAGCTACTCTGACTTTCTAATATAAAAAGGTGTAATAGGGTTATGAAGATTTGTCTAAGCTGTTTACTAGCTGGGGGACCTTGAACTAATCACATTATTTCACTGATGTATTTTTTTAAAAAAATATGTAAAAATAAAGATAATCCTTAACTGAGTAGTGAGGATCAACTGGTAATAGAAGGTTCTTTATACACTTGTAAGCCTTAAATATATGCTACTCCCCTTGTTTCCAGGCCTAGTTCTATGTTAGACTAGTTGGGTAAAACTTCTGAGCAGTAGGCCCCACCTTGGGACCTTGTTTAGCTCAAGGATGTCAAATAGGCCACATTTTGCTCATTTTATAGGTGAGGAAGCTGTTTCCTTCCTATGTGTATGTTTAGGGTCTTTGAAGTATCTTCATTTGTGGTAGTGATAAATTTTGTATACATTTTAGAATGTAGTACAGTCAGGGTCAGAAGATCCAGGTTTTATATGCTGACCTGTTAATTGAGCAAACTAGTTAAAAAAAAAATGGAGATAATCTTATATTACACAGGATTGTTTTGTGAAGTGTCAAGTGAGATATCCATGAAAGGATACAAATAGTAGTCTCTTTGTTCCCATGGGTCTTCATTTATACTGGTAGCTGTTGGATGTGTCACTTTCCCACAGAGGTTTATTTTAGGAGGAAGAACCAAATATTCATTTTTTGAATGTCAGTATTGTATTGTAAAAATTTACTAAGTGAATATGTCTTGAATAAGAGTGTGGATTGATAGAGAAAATTTGCTAAAGTTTATTCAGTATTTAAGGTTTTGGATACCTTGTTGGCCTAGTTGGATTAAGCAAAATAACTGCAGAGGCACTATTTGGCTGGTATAGAAGAACGTACATACTGAATAGGTTTTGGTGATTTATCTTACACAAGGCTTAAAACAGGGGTGATTTGTAAACTTGTAAAACATCTAGTCTTTATCATGAGTGTAAGAAAGATTTGGAAAAATGTGATTTCAGTTTTTATGTGGTTGTAGGAGAGTAAAAGGATACTTAAACCCTTCCTGTGCCAACTTGAAGTTGTCTTTTCCTCTTTTTTACTCTCCCTTCTTTGAAATTGATGGATGGAATTGAGTGGAAGTAAAAGTTAGAGAATTTGAGTTGAAGCTGTACTTTAGTGGATGCTTTTTCAGATAATGGTTTATGAATTTCTCCTAACTGGAAACAAGAAGGGGATTCCTTGTCAGACCTGGGTTATAGTCCTTGACATGCTCTCCCAGCCCCCCACCGCCACAATCCCTGTGTGCTCCAGTGCACTTTACATATTTTTTTGCTATTGCATATATTCTGTTGTTTTATAATTATGTGGTTCTTTTTGTCCCTCTTCATTGTAAGTTCCTTGAAGACAAGTACTGCATTTTTATATTCATGGTACTAGCAAAATACTTGGCAAATAGTGGGTGGTCTATATAAATGTTTGACTGCCCTGTTCTTTTGTAGAATCTATTCACTAACAATAGCAATTCCATTTTTGGGGTACCTGTAGTGTTCTAGAAGCTGTATTGGGTATTGTAGGGTGTAGTGTGGTATTTGGTGGATACTAAATGTTAATAACATAATTTAGGTAGGCAAGC